GTGGCGTTGTGGGAGGTGGGCGGGGCCCGGGTGGGACGAGAGCGTAGAGGGCGGAGGCGGGAGCAGGAGGCTTTGTACTGGCTGGTGGACGTGGAATGTGGGGTCCCTGAGCACACACCTCGAGTCCTGAGACCCGGAACGCCACTGCGTGTCCCTCTGTGGCCTCAGCTTCCTCTTCTGCCAGACCGTGAAGCTGAACCAGATCAGAGGGCTGTGTCCCTTCACCTGTAACCCTTCATCTCTAATGATGTGGTCCCCACATGTTCTTGGATCTAACGATTGTATCCCGTGCCCACCGTGTGCCAAGCTCTGTTCTCAGCAGTGAAGGAGACCAGCCCCGCCCCCTAGCGCTTATATTCCAGCAGGGAAGGCGGGGTGACTGGGCAACTGCGCTGAGGGTGGTTCCAAGTGCTAAGGAGAGAAGCGAAGCAGTGACAAGGGGAGGGGGCTCTTCCGCCCGGGTGGTCAGGGGCAGCCTCTCTGGGGAGTGGCCTTGAGCAGGGGCCAGAAGCAAGTGAGAGGGGAGCCCTATGGGAATGTGGGACAAGTGATTGGGAGCAGAGGGAACAGCAAGTGCAAAGGTCCTGAGGCACGGATGGGCTGGCCCAAGGGAGGAGCATGCTGCTACTGGTCCTGCCGAGCGCAGTGAATAAGGCCTGGTGGGCAGAGGTGAGGTCGGAGAGGGGTCAGGCAGATATCACCTTGGCGGGAACCGTTGAGAATCTGAGCAGGGAAGGGCTGTGATCTGACTTGGATTTCAACAGGCTCCCTCTGGCTACCATGGGGACCGTTGTTGTAGAGTCTTATCCTGGAGGGATACAATTTTGTCTGAATGATGTATTCTGCACCCTTGGTCTAGAGCTGCCCTGTCAATACAATAATGCCAGCCATATGTGGCTATTTAAATGAATTAAAATGAAATAAAAATAAACCCCCTGCCCCTCAGTTAGCTGCATTAGCCACATTTCACTTCCGTAGCCCCAGGTGGCTAATGGCCACTGCAGGTTTCGGCATGCCATCCCCTCATCTCAGAAGTGTTGGGTGGCGCTGGTCTAATGGCCCAGCCTGTCCTCGAAGTCCGCGATGGACACCCATGAGGTTGAGGGTGGAGCCAGGCAGGGGTGGGTGGGGCCTCCTGCCACAGCCGGGAAGCCCTTTGGAATCTGACCCTGGGGCAGGGCCAAGGGTATGCGGAAGAACTCCGGGAAACAGGAAGGACAGACTGAAGGGGGAGGGATTGGCCCAGTCACAGCCTGGCCGTAGGCTGCGGGTTCCTGTGCCCGACCCTTGTGGGCCGGACACTGCCCAGGACAGCAGCTCCCCGACCCCTGCAGCACCTGCTCCCCTCCCCGGGCCTCCTGGGACAAGGAATCAGAACTTACTTGTGCAGAGTGCCACCTGGCACCAGACAATCCCGGGCCTCTTGGCAACCAGGTGGCAACTCAGTCCCCTCACCTGTGAAATGGGGCAGATGCAGGGCCTCCATCAGGGTCTCGGAGAAGTAATCAGGTGGGCACAGAGCTGCACCCAGAGGGAGCCCAGCTCGGAGGCTCTCTGTGTCGGTCTCCCCCACAAACTGTGAGCGCTGGGGGCACAGCTGTATCCTGGTGCCACGGGAAGCCCCGAGGGGTGGTGTTTTGGGTGAAGTTGGCCACGTGCTGCAAGAACTGAGAGCAGAGCTGTTGAGGCTGCCCATCCTTAGGGCTGCCGTCCAACCGCAGAAGACTCTGTGGAGGGATTGGGGGGCTCTGAGGAGAGAGAGTCTTTGAAATCAACATTGAGGAGTTGAGGAGGACATGCGGGTGGCAGAGCAGAGGCACCCTTACCCCTTCTGAGGGGAAGACTGGGCCCTCCAGGGTGGGTGACTGCCCTGAGCCTCAGACTCGGGAACGGGGCTGGCCGCTCACCTCGTTTGCCCTCAGAGTCCAGGCAGTGGCCAGCGGGTGTCCAGGGGCTGGGCTGGGGTTCCCAGGGGAGCTTGTGTCCAGCAGGAACTCGCCATGTGGGCTGTGGCCCCGCTGAGCTGCCCTCCCTGTGCCCAGGATGACGGCGGGAGCACGGGCACCACAGAGCAGGCGGCCTGGCGGTACTCGCAGACTCACCAGGCCATCCTGGGCCCCTTCGGGGAGCTGCTGACCGAGGACGACCTGGTGTACCTGGAGAAGCAGATCGCAGACCTGCAGCTGCGGCGCCGCTGCCAGGAGTACGAGAGCGAGCTGGGCCGGCTGGCGGCCGAGCTGCAGGCCCTGCTGCCTGCGCCCCTGGTCAGCGTCACTGTCAACAGCCACTTCCTGCCCCGCGCGCCCGGGCTGGAGGGCGAGGAAGGCCCCAGCCCTGAGGTCGAGCCCGAGGGCTCCGGGGGGGCTTCGCAGGCCACACCCGGCGCGCAGCCCCTGCCCTTCTGGTGCAGCCACGTTGCCCGGCTGGTGCGCAGCTTGTCGCTGCTGCTGAAGGGCGTGAACGGGCTGGTGCAAGGCGAGGAGAGGCCCCCACTGGAGGCCCCCAGGGAGGCCCCAGCCAGCCCTCCGAGGAGCGAGGCCCAGCGTGAGATCCAGGAGTGTGGGGTGTCGGTGCGGACACTTCGTGGCAACTTCGAGTCAGCCCCCGGCCGGCCCTGCACCCCGAGCCCTGGCCCCTGTGAGCTGGGGCCCCAGCCGGGGCCGTGCCTGAGAGGCTGCTGGCCCTCCCCCTTGCAGCCCCGCGGAGGCCCGATCGGAGGGGAGCCAGGGCCGGGCGACGCGGAGGAGGCCAGCGACTCGGGCATCAGCTGCGAGGAGGCCGCGTCGGAGGCGGGAGCCGTGCCTGGCCCTGACCTGGCCAGCCTTCGCAAGGAGCGCATCGTCATGCTCTTCCTCAGCCACTGGAAGAAGTCGGCCTACACGCCGGCCCTGAAGACGGTGGCATGCAGGACCCTGGAGGCCCGGCGCCTGGAGCCACGGCGGCGGGAGGCGGCCGGGGGCCCTCAGCTGCCCTCCCCGCCGTCCAGCGAGAGCCCGCGTCTGGGCCACCTGTGGCAGCAGCGCAGCATCATCGCCCACCTGCTGGGCAACTGGAAGTCCATCCTGGCCCACGTGCCCGCCCGGCAGCTGCGGCGGCTGAGCCGGCGGCCCCACGGCCCCCTGTCCCCCGAGCAGTTCCTGCCCCACGTGGACGGGGCGCCGGTGCCCTACGGCAGCCTCACGCTGGACCTCTTCATGCTGGGCTACTTCCAGCTCCTGGAGTGCGACCTGTCGGCTGAGGAGCGCAAGATGCGTCACCTGCTCTGCTTCGAGGTCTTCGAGCACCTGGGCGCCCACGGCTGGGAGGCCGCGCGCGCCTTCCACAAGGCCGTGACGGACGAGGTGGCTGCCGGCCGCCGTGCCTGGACCGACGGCTTCGAGGACATCAAAGCCCGCTTTTTCGGCTCCAGCCGCAGTCACCCCTGGGGCGCAGAGCCCGGCCGCAAGTCGGGCCTGACCCCACTCCAGCCCCTGCCCCATGCCGGCCCCGGCGGCGGCCCCGGGCCCGCGGCACAGAGGCTGGGGTCCAGCCCCCAGCGGGGCAGCTTCAACAGCGAGGACATCTGTGGCTACATCGACCGGAGCTTCGCCTTCTGGAAGGAGAAAGAAGCCGAGATGTTCAGCTTCGGGGAGTGAGATGGGCTGGCAGCCTGCCTTCCTACCAACGGGGCTCCCGGTGTGGTTTTGGTCCTCTCTTCTCTTTTCCTTTCGCCCACCTGGTGGCCAGGTGAGCCTTGAGGGCAGGCCGGCGGATCCTCAGCGTGCTAGTTGCCACCCTCCAGGTCTGCCCCCTGGCGGGAATCAGCTTCAGAGCCCTTCTCACCGCTGGCCCGAAAGTCAGTCCCCCAGTCGGCCCCGAAGTTGGATGACTTGCCATCTCGGCCCCCGCCCTTCTGCCTGGTCTTCCTTCAGGCACCTGTGATTCCAGCCCGGGTTTCCCCTTGGTCCTCCCTCCAGAGTTGCCTGGGTGTCCCTTCTCTCAGTGCTTCTGGTGCCGGTGGCCCTGGTCACGTCCTGAGCCTCTGTCTGCCCTCCTCGGGTCCTGCCTTGGTTCCTTCTGGTGACCTTGGGCCATGCCCCTTCCCCTCTTCTGTCCCCTTTCCCCACCTGTGAAGTGGCAGAGGAGCTGGGGGTCAGAGAGAACGGGATTCGACGGGCAAGAGACCAGACTCCCGAATTCTCCGGGTCAGGGAGGGAAACCAAGGGGCTTTAGGGGAGAGGTGTCTTGCAGCTGTGCCGTGGCCCCAGCAGGCAGTGTGCTGGGGAGAGGTTTCAGGAATCTCCTACGGGCCGCCGCCTCCCTGCAGACAGACCCGTTGGGATAGGGGTCTCTTGTGGTGTTCCTACGTGCCTGCAGAGCTTGGACGGCTCAGACAAGATGTGGGATGGAACAGAGGGTCCTCCCAGCCAGCTGACTTGAGGCTGTCACAGGGAGGGATGATCAGGAAAATATAAAGTCAGAGCTGCCAGGGCCGGGCTGGGGGGCAGCGCTGGCAATGGCTCCAGCTCCAGACCCTCCTGCAGGGTGGACACCTGACGTGAGTTTGCTAAATAAAGATCCATTCCTGGCCGGCCTTCCCACCTGTGCCCATAGAGAGAGAGGGCCCCACCTGGTGGGCACCAAGACCCCAGTCCTCAGCTCGGCTGAAACAACAGAGGCAGCATCCTTAGCCCCACAGAGCCTCTACCTCCTCATCTGTAAAATGGGGGTATGGCATTGACCGCCCATTCCCAGCGTCCTGGCGAGGGTGGACTGAGGTCCCGTATGAGGGGGTCTCTGTCCTGGGGTGACAGTGACACCAGCCTGTGTCAGTATTTTAAGGAGCAGGTTCTAATGAGCAGGGCACCAACCTCAGGCAGCTGGGAGCATCCCATACGCTGTTGCCGTCATGATGCCCTGGCGCTTAGACACAAAACTCAACCTTTGGAGCTAGACAATGGCTGGTCCACAGGGCGCTTCCGCTGCCCAGGTTGGCGGGGTGCAGGTCCAAGGGGGGTGGGGGGAGCCCGGGGGCCGGGGGTCAGAAGGTGCTGGGCACTCCGATGTCTCTCTCCCTGTGGGCCTCCTGCAGGACACTGTTGTTCAGAGGCGGCCCGGAGGGGGCGGGCGGCAGACACAGAGCGCAGTCCCAGAGGTCGCCTGCTGGCCAGGGTGCTCAGGAGAGCGCCAAGCGGGGGCCAGCACGCCCAGCTTAAGGCGCCCCTGCCTACTCACTATGGCCCTGGGCAAGCCCCTCCATGCCCTCACTTTCCCAGCTAAGAGACTGGACCGAGGCCAGCTGGGAGCAGCAGCCCACAGTATCCTGGGGTCCATGAGGACCTGGGTTCAAGGTGAGTGGCAGGCAAGGGTTGAGGCGGGGGGCTCAGACCCAAGCTTGAGGCCTGGAAGGGAGGAGAGGACTTCTCTGCTTGGCAGTCATGGGGGACTCCCCAAATGCCTTTCTGCGGACACTCTGCTTCCTGGGGGTCCTTCTTATAAAAACACGGTGTCCCGGGAGCAGCCCCGGGGATTCTGAGTCCCTTTGCCTGGGCTGGGCCTGATAAAGCTGGGTTTCTTTTTAAAGATATTCCAGGTGATCCTGATGCCCAGCAACCTGGGAACCCCTGGCCCACTAGCAACTCTCCTGTGGGAAGCAGGTGTCCCCTGCCGTAGGCGAGGGCTGGCCCTGGCAAGGCCACACGTGCCGCTGTAAGGCCTGTTTGGTCCCTATAATCCTGTCATCCAGTTGTCAAAAGCTCACTGAGGACCCCGGAGCCACTACATAGGGATCCGGAGGCTGTGAGGTGACCAGACACAAAACAAGGTGCAAAAACAGGGGCTTCCAGAAGAGTCGGGAAAATACTGGAGAAAGGGAACCCCGGCTCATAAATATGTGCAGGACAAATATGAAGAAAAAGCTGTATGGGAAAAATATGGGAATAGTGTAAGCTGTTCACATATCAATGCATAGATTTAGGCAAAGTCAAACTCTTTTTTAATGACTCTAAAGTTCTTTTGAAGCAAACCATGAACAAAGCCAGCTGTGGAGGCCAGCCTCCAAGAAGGCCTCCAGTAAGCCCACCTCCTGGAAGCACGTCTGCTGGAGTCCCTCCCACATTGTACCTCAGAATATGGCAGAAGCCACAGACAGCACCTCCAAGTAGGTTATGAAAGACTCCCATCTTTGTTGCTGTCTTATCTCTGGGGGAAGCTGGCCGCCATGTTCGGAGCAGCCCTGTGGGGAGGTCCGTGTGGGCCCCCACCCAAGGCCAGCCTTCAGACAACTGCAGTCCGGCCAGCCCCTTGGAGCCATCTAAGGATAGATCCTGAGGCAGAACCACCCACTAAAGTGGTCCCAGAACCATGAAACTGTGTGAGATAATAAATGTTCATTGTTTTAAGACACTAGACTTTGGGGTCATTTGTTATGCAGCAATAGCTAACTAATACAACAGACTAGAAGATTTTAAATAGAAGAGTAACGAAGGGGCTTACATTTCAAGTATGACAACATCATAATTATAAAGCAGTAGTCCATCAAACAAGGTGGTTCTGACCCCAGAATATGGTCACTCAGATCAACAGACCAGAAGAGAGAAAGCTGAGATATTTCACACAGAAAACTTTGCCCTTGAGATAAAGGCACTGCAGCAAATCCGTGGGGGAAAGAAGGAATTATTAATAACAGTACAGAGAATGTTGGTAACTATTTGGGGGAAAAAATGTATGACCGAGGGGGTGGACGGGTCTGGTTGAGCAGGACCTCACGGCGTGAAGGCACCGGGCCAAGTGTAGGGGACAGTTTTACCTCCTGATGGAGAAAGTGCCTCCGTCACCCAAGATGACGACCCTCTTGTCCACACGTCGAGCTGTAAACCTTGGTGAACTCACTCCCCAAATCTGTTCTGGGGGAGGAATCACAGAGGCGACACCGTACTAGTTATCATAGCCCAAAACGGCACACAACTCACACGTCCCTTAATAGGAGTGACTGGGTGTCACTTCCACCTTCTTAAAGTGTGGTATGTTCCCTTTATGATGAAATTAAAAATCTTATTTTCTTTTTATTTTTTTTGATGTGGACCATTTTTTAAAGTCTTTATTGAATTTGTCACAATATCGCTTCTCTTCTATGTTTTGGTTTTTGTTTTTCTTTTTTGGCCACGAGGCATGTGGGATCTTAGCTCCCCGACCAGGGATCGAACCCACACCCCCTGCCTTGGAAGGCGAAATCTTAACCACTTGACCTCCACGGAAGTCCCCAAAATCATATTTTCAAAGACTAATCACATCAGAAATGCTCACGATACAATATTGTGATGAAACAGGACACACACTGCAGTCATTCTAACACCGGTGTGTTCATGGGGATTTCCTTCTACCAGTTTTCCTCTTTGTACTTTTCTGTGTTTTCTAAATTTCCCACAATGAACATGTGTCATTTTTATCATCATAAAAAGAAACGAGCAGCGTATTTTTAGAAACCGCACCACTCGGTAGCAATATGATGAGGAGGATATGTTGAGCCCCTGGTTTCGAGTTTCCCAAACTGACCTGTCATCCGAGGCGTTGGGTCCCTGAAGGGCCTCCTTTCTTGGCACACGAGGGGAGGCGGCTGCCTGTGAAGTGGCCTGTCATCAGAATCCCCTGTCCTCATTTCCTCCAGCCTGAGCCAGGAATGCCTTAACCCTCCGCGTTCTGCCTGCAAACACAGTGGGGCTGGGAGGCGAGACCAATAACTGTTCCCCCTCCAGCGCCTTCCCCGGGATGGCCCTGGACACAGTGAGAGGTGGGGACATCCATGAGGCCCCTGGGCATGAGGCTGATGCCCAAGGCTACAGGGAAAGTCCTGGGACTCTCTGGGGGCAGGGGGCAGGGCCTTGGGCTGGGCTGGGCTATGACTGGACTGGCCTGAACTGGGATATGACTGAGCTGGGCTGGGCTGGGCTGGGCTGGGGAGAGAATCATGGATTCAGGAAACCTGTGAGTGAGCAAAGTATGGAAGAATCTTGTGAACGTATAATCAACTAGGCAATCACTGCAGTATGTGTATAACGACTGGGTCCTCACGTCACGAGAGCAGAGACTGTGGTGCCCAGCTCACAGCCAGCACCCCAGCAGCAAGCAGAGCCATCTGTCTCGGACGCGAGCTGTCATGACACCCAGATACCCTTGGGAAATTACCAAAGCTTGCCAGGAGTGAGACTGTCACCCTGGGACCCCCGGGCCTCTCTGCACCATAAGAGCATCAAAAGCCAGTCCCCAGTGGGTGTCAGGAGGCCTGTCAGCCTCGGCCCTACTTGACTCTTCCACGTTGCAACACGCCTAGAAAATGGTTGCATTGGTAAGGCCCACGCGGGTACAGGAAGGAGGGGCTGACAGGTAGAGGCCCCACCTGGCCTCACCAGGCTGCAGGCTTCTCTCCTGTGTACCTGCAGGCCCTGGGCCAGGACGCTTTCCTCTGACTGCTGGCATGAGAGACACCCTCGCAGCTCTTTGGGCTCAAGCCCAGACTCAGTCAGGGTCTGTGGCTCCAGAGCCCCACCGAGACCCAGACGGCAAGGACTCCCCACTCCGGGGAGGCTGTGAGCCGCCGCTGCTGTATTTGTAGATGATCCCATTTCTTAGCCATCTCTGATGCTCACGACTAATGAAGACAGCAGGGCAGGGAGGCCAAGGCCACAATACGAGGGGACAGATCCTTGGGATCCCATGACCCTGTTACCAGCCTGGCGGGCACCTCTCTGGGCCCCTCCTTTACCACCGAGACTCCTCGCCACCAGGGACCCCAGGTTTTGAAAGTCTTTGCTGAGCAACCCACATTTCTTCATGATGATAACTTTTCCCCACTTGGTGGAGAATAAGAGGCCATGTGGGCACCTGTCAATAACCACAGGGAAGCTGGTACCTGCTGGGTGCTCAGGACACCCAGGCCCTGAACTGGGGGCTCCGTGTGGCTCCTGAGTCCCCAGCTCAGGCTTCACCTGAGGGGGACCCTCTTGCAGATGAAGAAACAGAAGTGGGGGGAGCCGTGCCCCACCCCGCGCAGTCAGCCAAACACCACTGGGAGGGTGTAAGCCCAGACTCGCCCCTGCCCTACGGTGCCTCCTGCCACCTGTCCTGTCTCAGGGGGTCACAGGAGGCTCCAGGCCAGTGTGGGCTTTCAGGGAGGACAGCCAGGGAAGAGCTGTCACCTCTCTCCTTCCCCCACTGGCCACCCTCCCTCCCTCCCTCCCTCCCCACACTGACAGAGGCTAAAAATACCCTTCTGTCCCCACGTGGCCGCCCCGCCCAGCCCAGCCCAGCCCAGTCATATCCCAGCAGGCCCTCCATACCCCTTGGCCGCTGGGCAGTCCTGCTCTCCAGCCTGAGTTCTGAGACAAGGTCCAGGTGCCGACTGAGAGGTAGGGTCTGGGGGGGCAGATGGGAAGGCAAGGTGAGGACCAGGGCTGGGACCAGAGGGGAGGGTGGGTTCTAGTGGGACAGCTCAGTGGGCTTGGAGATCACAGCGCTGGGTGCTTTGGAGAGACCCTGCACGCTGGCTAGGCCAGGCCCCTCAGCGTGGGGTGGGGGCTCAGGTCCTGGCTGGGGAAGAGGGTGAGGGTGGGTCGGGGGAGGCTGGACCACACCTCTGACTGCAGCCGGGGCCACAGCTGCCAGCCCCTGGCCAGAGCTGGGTTAAGGCCCTTTGGTGTCCTGCCCACTCTGCCCTCCTCTCTCCTGGCCTGGCAGGCACTGGGTGGAGGCTCTGAGACCCTCTGGAAGCGCCCGCCCCCCTGCTGGAACTGCGGGGCAGCAGGTGTCAGCAGACAACCTGAGGCCCCATGGGAAGCTGCTGGGCACCCTGGCCCGCTGGTCCCCGGGGCTGCAATGCCTGGAGAACGGGGCCACAGCAATGAGGGGAATGCGAGGCCTGGGGGTGGCGGCCGCCTGACTGATCTCCTGCGTTCCCCTGGGAGGGAAGGGCCACCTTCATCCTGGCCAGAGAGACCGCTGGGTCAGGCAGGATGGACACGGACCAGGGCTCCCTACCAGTCCTGTCTGGGCAGAGCCCAGGCAGGTCCTTGGGCCCCTAGGTGGGTTCCTTGGGTGCTTCCCTGCTCAACTCCCACCAACGGCACCCCCACCCCGGGGCACCCGTGGTGCACGGTTCTCCTTATGGGGCTTTGTCACTTTGATGGCTCTTGGTTGACCCAGCATTTTGCACTGGCCTTCTCTTTGATGGGTCCGAAGCTGCCCCCTGGTGGACAGACAGCTTTTTTGCTGTGTGGTAACTTGGGGTGAGATCACCTGTGCAGAACCTTTGTTTCTCTGGGGCGGTTTTCTTAGGGCAAAAATACCCGAAGATCGTAAAGAAATATGCACATCATTAAATAAGCCCAGAAGAGGATCTGCTGAATCAGGCAATGTGAACAGCGGCCGCCCCCCAGAAAGTTTCCTTTGCCTGCTTTTCTTTACCAACCTACGCCCAGCGACGTATAACCTGGGGGTTCAGGGCCCAGGCCCCCGAGCCTGGCTCCCCCATGTCTGAGCTGTGTGGTCTTGGACAAGCGACCTGAGCCTTTTTTGCCTCTGTCTCCCCACTTGTCAAAGGGACTCAAACAGCAGCCAGCTCTCGGGGTTGCCGCGAGGGCTGAGTGATGAGTATTTGTGCAAAGCTCAGGATGGGCCTGGCACGTGGGGGGCACCGTGACAGCACAAGCTGCCGTGGGGACGTGACCCCTCGGCCCCTTTCACCGCCAGCCTCTTACTCGGCAGATGAGGAAGCTGGCAGATGAGAAAGGGGCGTGGCTCACCCAAGGTCACCCAGCAAGGTCATGGCCAGTGAGGACCTATGGGGCAGAAACTATTCAAATGCCGATGCTCTCCCCAGCAAGGTGGGATCTGGGAGCAGAGGAGGCCACTTGGGGGTTTGGGGGTCCACAGGGATCCCCACGCTCCAGGAGGAGGTATGGAGGGGGGCTGAGGCTTGGTTCCCTTGCTGGCCTGTCCTGCCCTGATCACTTGACTACGACTAGGTCTCCCGCCCGCTCTGAGCCTCAGCCTCTGCACTGTAACATGGGAAAGACACTGCCTGCCTTGCAGGGCTATGGGGATGGCTTAGGTGAGAGGCTGGGCGAAGCGCTTCACACATAGTTGATGCTCAGACCGACGGTCGGGTGGATGGGTGACTCGGGCTGAGGAGACCGTCCCCGTGGCTGACCGTGCTGGCTCCTCTCCCTAGGAGCCCGTGGGGACGCCCGTGAGTAGGTGGCCGCGCAGTCATGGTGTGGAACGTGGACGACCTGGACTTCCACCTGCCCTCGCACGCCCAGGACATGCTGGATGGCCTGCGGCGGCTGCGCTCCCAGCCCAAGCTGGCGGACGTCACACTGCTGGTGGGTGGCCGGGAGCTGCCCTGCCAC